CAACAATTGAGTCAAGCATAGAATCATGCCACCAGATCATCTCAATCATTATCTTTGATCGAATTCCCTTTTTTGTTGGTGCTAATTGAGCCGTAGGTTGTGAGTGAGCATACAATCAGAAATATTGAAGGTATACGACATGTCTAATTCAGGAGAATTGTCCAAATCTATTGAGTTTCACTTTTGAATGCATTCCTAAGGGAATTTTCTTTGCAAAGATGAATCATAACAAAGTGTCCTTCTTGTTATAATTTCCATTGCCGATGGTGATCAACTACTTCCTTGTAGTATGTTTGAATCTTGCAGTTTGGTTTTAACAACTCGCAACAAGTTAGAAATTCTTCTGTGATATTTGCAGCAGTAGCTTTGGCATTTAGCCCAAATAGTTAAATCAATTGTATGATTGAGCGTCAGCGAAAACAACATTAAATGGATTGCAGCCGGTAGAATGATTAATCATAGAATTGTAGGTGAACTCCATCTAACCAAGAGATTCAACCCACCATTTTGAATGGTCAGCAACTAAAAGGCAACACATGTTTCTGAGATAATTAACTTCCATTGCCTATCGGCAGGGGCGGAACTAGTTTTTCCTTTGAGGGTGGACAAACACAACTAAAGGGACGTGCAGGTAACAAGCGCAACGTTGGCAATGGTGAACAGATAAATTTCACAAGCAGCGTCGACGCGACGCGCAGAAAGCAGGCGAAGCGGTGGCATCGTGTAGCCAATAGGCATAGTGCTGTAGTGGGACCATCTACATATGGCATGAATTGGATTGTGGTGAGAGAGAAATTGGATAGCTAGCTCTTCATTAGGGAATATATATATATGATCTCAAAATTACTCCCCTCATAACTCATAAGAAGAAATTTAGGCTTTGTTTGGGACGACTTTTTTACTGTTTCGTAAAGCAATTTTTTTAGTATAAAATTAAAATTTTTATATTAAAAAGCAGCTTTAAAAAGAAGTAAAAAAGCCATCCCAAACAAAGCCTTAGTTTGGAAAGGATAGAATGAGCTAAGACGGATGTCTGCTTGTAGTTTGTCCATAACTCTAGCAAAAAACAACTGATAAATTTTGTTTCTCAATCGGAAGTTAGGCTCTGAGAAAGCCCATGGCGGACAATGTCGTGGAAAAAACAGCTTTGTAAGTGACAAAATCATAGGTTTTTTTACAAGTAATAAAGCAAATCATCTTTGAAAATCTATCTACGACCACCACAACGCCCTGCTTAGTTCAAGGTAGCTCAGATATTCCAAGATAAAGCTAGTGATAGGTATTGATAAGCATAAAAATGTATTTTGAGTTGTTCCTTTGCAACCTTGGCAAATTGGACAACGCTCAACCAATCTAATCATCATGAAGCAAATTGGGAGAAAGAAATGGGACTGGTGTTGAGCTAATATTTTGCCCCTACCGGCATTAGCAGTGAATACTCAGCTAAATTTCTGTAGAAACAAGACCCATTAGGCGTACATCCGAGCAAAGATTCTTCTATAAGCTTATGCATTACAGGATTGGCGGTCATCGAACAATAAAAAATCTTGGTGTATGGTTAATTCTCCCATTGTTTGAATGAGCAAATGACAGCATATAACTGTTATTCAAAAGCAATCAATTTATGATGCAACGCAATCAATTTTTTGCAAAGAATTCAACAAGCCTTCCTTCTTGTGATGAGATAGTTCCAATACCTTGTAGACGAATCAGTTTCCCCTAGAATGTTTGTTGTAGTTTGGGAGAACTAAGACTGAAGCGAAACTCAAACTTGATTTTAATGGATTCACAACTTTGTTGTTAATTGTTTTGCCAATGACAATTGTTTAAGATTTAGGCGGTTTGTAGGGTTGCAAACGAGCCGAGCCGAGCTGAGCTTTAGCATGTTCAAGCTCAAGCTCGTTTGACAGCATCCTGTTCGAGCTGGGCTAGATAAAAATCGAGCTTTTATGGCCTCTATTCAAGCTCGAGCTCGTTTAAAAACCTCTGCTCAAGCTCAACTCATGTTCAATTTAGAGCTCGATTATTTAGGCTTATCGAGCCGCTCATTATAAAGTCTCATTGAGCCACTCGTTGACAAGTTAGTGGTTTGGCTCGTCCAAACAAAATGAAATCATAAATTAAGTCAGCCAACGTACCGAAGCCACCAGTTGCCTGTTGTTAAGCAAATGGTCATCACATTTTTTTTATAGCGCAAAATCACTCCCGTCCAAGCGGTGTGGGACTAAACCCCCATAGTTTTATTGGGTGATCAAGTCATTAATAAGAGTACATGTTTTAGATATTGATAAAAAAATTATCTTGATCAAGCATGAATCTCGAGGCAAAATCAGGCCGGAAGCTTCAAAAATTAAATTTGGGATTATCTGAACTCCGATTTCAGCAAACTTACGGTCGAACTGAGCGTCTCGGAAATACGAACCCAACGACACCAAATTCAACTCAATCTGAGCCCAAATGTGTCCGAATCACCAACAAAAAACAATGGAGTGCCTAAACTGTAAGAAAATTAGAGTAAGGGAGGATAAAGAAAAGAAACAGCTGCAAAAAGTCTAACTTCTTCTATACAAAAGAGTGACACTGAAGTTTGATAGGGGATGTCACCTATTTCCGACAGTAGAATGTCTATAATGTAAGAAGATAGCCAGAGAAGAAAATAATAGAAGGAGAAAAAATTTCCTTATACACTGAAGAGGATCGTTGAATTTAAGTAGAGAAAGTCACCTAAAAAAAACAACGGAAGATCTCTAGAGCAAGAAGAAAAACGAGGGAAAAAGAAAAGGAAAAGCAAAAGAAAATTATGACTTCTGCATAAAAAGAGGGGCGCTGATTTAAGAAGGGAAAGTTACATACATAAAACAGCGGAATGTCTTAACTGTAAGAAAGCCAAATGGAGAAGAAAAAAGAAAGAGCAAGTTTCCCCCTACCCCTATGGGAGTATTTATAGCATTTTTTGGGAAATGATAAGCTTCAGGAATATTCTGGATTTTTCTAGAATTTTTTTAATTTTTTTTTTTTGGAATTTTTGGGAATAAAAAAAATTTATTATTTAATAAATATAGCTGGCGGTTTCCTTAATCGCTAGCGGTGGGCAGCCAAGCGCCGCGAGGAACCGCGAGGCCAGGTGTGGGCCGGGCGAGCCACAAGCAGGCAAGGCGGGCCAGGTGGGCCGCGGGCAAGCCAGGACCCGGGTCAGGCGGGCCCGGTGCGCGATTCTGCCACCGCTTACGGCAGCGATGGTGGCCGGCCGGTTCTGCTACCTAAGCGAATTTGGGCCCAATTTTTGACCCGGACAGGCTAAATTAGACATTTTTGGGATCCCCATGATCATTTTTTTGACATTTCAGGCTCAATTTCGGCATTTTTAAAATTATTCGGGACCCCTACACACAAGATCAGATTATTTTCGAGTTTCAAATCACATAAAAAATTCTCCAAAATTTGTGACGTGTATTTTCGGACTCATGGAGCTTCAACATCCAAAAAAATAGAGGGGCAACTGATATATCATCAAAAAATTATCTTGATCGGGCACAAATCTCGAGGCAAAATTATGCTGGAAGCTTCAAAAATTAAATTTGGGATCATCTAGGGTGCATCTCGAAAATACAAACCCAATGACACCAAATTCAACTCAATTTGAGCCCAAATGTGTTCGAATCAAAGACCCGAAGCATTGTTGGAAGGTTCAAACCACAATTTGGATTACCAAACGATTTCAAAATAGGGCATGCTTATAGCGAAATCGAGCGGCTCAATGAGACGAATCCAACAAGCCCAAGATCGGCGAATTCCGATATCACTAAGACCTTCAAATGTCTAACGAACGGTCCACGATCAAGGGATTCAATATTGGCCATCCATCCAAACCACTCCACATTTGCCCTTGATCCTCCTCCTATTTACGGGTCATGCTATCCTCAAAAAACTATAAATAGCTCCTCATTTCTCTTAAGTGGGGACCCCAAGTAAGAAGGAAGAAGAGGAGAAGAGGAGAAGAGGAGAAGAGAATGAGGGAAGAAACTCCTCATCGACCACCGCAGAAGTTCCGCCTGACTTTCAAGTGACGCTGAAACTCCGCCCGATCTCCAAGTGACGCCGAAACTTCGCCCGATCTCCAAGTGACGCCGAAACTCCACCCGATCTCCAAGTGACGTTGGAATTATGTCCGATCTTCAAGTAACTACGGAGTTTTGCTTGAATACTATCTAATGCCGGAGTTCTCCTCGGCCGCCGACTAACGTCGGACTTTTACCCGATGCCGGGCCTCCGCTCGTCGCCAGATTTCTACCTGAAGTCGAACTTCTGCCCATTGTCGGACTTTCGTCGGACATCTATCCGATGCTGGATTTCTGTCCATTGCTGGACTTCTACCTGACGCCGTCCTTCTGAACTCCGTCGTCAGACAACAGTCCTTACGACCTCCGTCGCCTGCCAACTACGGTCCTTCCGACTTACGTCGCCCATCAACTACGGTCCTTCCGACCTAATGAACACGTCAACAGTGACTCTTTGTATTATCATCATGTACTTCATATAATGTACATCAATCCAAGGCCTTCCCCCTAAGGAACTGAATTATTGAGAAAAAAATCAAACCGCTGCAAAAGCACTAATAACCAATTTGCACATAACAACTACAAGCACACATTATGAAATAAGGATAGGTCTAGTTATAAGCTCCAAAAGAAAGGGGTCACACAAGTGAAAAAAAATTACGAATGCACTAAACTTGCAATAAACAAAGAGAAATATGGACGGATAGATAAGGTCTATATATATATATATATATATATATATATATATATATATAGAGAGAGAGAGAGAGAGAGAGAGAGAGAGAGAGAGAGAGAGAGAGAGAGGACCTATCTTAATAAAAACTCTGGCAGAATGACCAGGGGAAATCATCTTTACAATGAGAACAAACCTCATAAAGTTGGATGGAAAACTTTGTCTAATGGCTGTTGTGGAGTATCAATTCTCATGAAGAGTTGTTAACATATTTATAAGTTAAATCTGGTTGCATTCCAAAATATAGAAAATATTTACAAAACTTGAAATTGTTCGGAAAGAGAAAAGGAAATTAGGAAAAATGTAAGAAATACAATGTTACAAAAGATTAAAAAAAAAACATACAAAAACATCTTTAGCCGCATACAGATCTTAGGAAATGCAAATATCCTTACATCAGATAAGCCACTATTACTCAGAATGAAAGAGAAGAGTTATTAGCAAAATAACAGGTACATGTACATCAAATACAAGATAGGTTTATGGACATGGAGCATAATTGCACATTTACCTTGATTGTTTTACACCAGGAATTCCTTAACGTGTTAGAATGCAAGTGCAATTCGGTCTCAGGCAGATAAAAAGATGGCTCAGATTTCAGACATTACGCACTCTCAGCTGGAGTAAGATGCCCAATCTTCTCAGTAAGGTGATCTACACTTTTCCTATTCCACCAAAAGTTGCCCCATGCAACTTTGGTCACTTCACTTCTTCTTTCACCTACTTCCTTCCTCTCAGATTGAACTTCCTGCGCATCAGACCCTGGAGTCTCTGTGAAGAATTGCTGCCAAAATACATCGTTTCCTCCAGCAGGAACCGAAGTTCCAGCTCCATTAGTTGAATCTCTTGATATATGTGTTTCAGGAGCAGCGGGCGCTGAATTGACATCTATTTCAGAAATATTAGCCCTTACAGTCCTGGGAACTTCGGATGAAGAAACGCCACTATTTTCCACAAAACTTGTTGAGTCTGCAAGCTCTGGAGATGAATGAAAATCCCCAACACAAGGAGAGGAAGAATGCAGTTTAGGTGAAGTTGATGGCGAATTGACAACATTCTCCCTTACTGCTATGTGTGAATCAGTAGGCAATACTGCATATGGAATGGAATGTACACTACCAAAATCACAATACATTTCCCCAGAAGAAGCTAGGCTTACATTGCGGAAAAAGGTCTCCAGGGTGTTCAATGTGGATTCCATCTTCTCAAATGGTACTAGGTCCAATGCCTGAATGGATACAGTTTCAGGCTTCTGTGTGCTTGTGGTTTGAATTTCAAAAATTTGGTTCTTTCCAGCATCCTCTTGAATGCAATCATGCACCAGTAGTCGTCTCTTCTTGCAATGGAATACAGGTTGTTGAACAATATTTGAGAGAAACCCTGGTACTTGGACTACACTGGACAAGAATTCCATGATATCCCTTTGTCGATCCAATAAAACCTGCATTTTCTCCTCCAGAGAAAGCATTTGTCTCTCCAATCCATATTGCTGCTCTATGTGCCCATTCAACTCCAGGAGAAGACTGTCTTTGTCACGCTTGAGCCTCTCAATATTTCCTTCAAGCTCATATCTTTCTGCTTCAGACAAAGATACAGAAGCACTGCCCTGTGCCTGCAGTGAATGGCTGTGTACCGGCTTCCGCCGATGAATATTATTCAGTAGATGCTTCTGTCCCCTTGCAAAATCCTCATTGGCGAATTCCCACTGCTCCGGATCTGCTTTTCTGAAACCCTGAAATAATTGGAATGCCTCTAAATTTAGATATCCATCAAGGCTATTATTATTATTATAATTTAGGGTAAATATAGCAGTTTTAAGTGTTATGTATGTAAAAACCCCTATAATTTATTATGAACTTATTTAACCAACTGAAGACAAACTTGTCGATTAGAGTCAGCTACTTCAATCTTAAAACAAACCATGCACGGCAAAATACGGATTTATCGGTTTAGTAAGCAGAATCAAGTGAGACGTAGAAGAAATCTTCCCCTAATAGCTTATTTCTATCAGAATATGTCAAAATACGCAAAAGTTAGATATGCTAGAGCTTTCACTCCCAAGTAACTCATAAAAAAGAATTGCAGTAAACAACAAGATCAGTCAACACAAAATCAAGATAAAAAATTTAACTTTGTTCGTAACTTTATAGAACAACGGAAGATATATTCTTTACTAAAAAAAAGCATACTAGCCATTGAACTTCGATATATATGAGAGAATACTAATGCAAATCATTGAAAGACTTCAAAAGGCGTCGACTTTACACACGGTAGCAATCAATTATCAGATTTCATGCTAAAAAAACAAAATTTCCGTTACTTAATCATTTTCACTTACATATGTGTTGAGCTGCCGGACAAAACTAGAGAAATTATTATGCTTGAAGTACTTAGGCAGCAGATCCCTCGAAAACACCGTCGTGTTCCACACAATAAAACTATCGCCTGAGTTACTCCACGACACAACCGAATCGGTAGCGGAATCATCCACCATCTCATACGTCTTCGTGAGGAATGGCGGCGGGGAATTCGATCCACCCTCCATCACATCGATCACTGATCAGTCGCAGCCGTTAAACCCTAATCGAAGGAGACGCTTGCAAGAAACGAACGGCGGGAAGAAGCGATGCGGGAATATAGGGCAATTGGTTATTAGGGTTTGCGGAATCAGGGAGATCTGGATTCTGGAAAGACTTCGTCGAGGTCAATTCGCTTTGTGGAAATCTCTGGAAAGAAAGCAAAGAGAAGCGAGAGGGGGTTTCGTTTGGAGGAAGTTTCAGCGCGCGCGCTTGGGCGGTTGGGCCATCTGATAAGCCTCCTTTGACTCCAAAAATAATGGCTTTCTATAATAGAATATGTACTTCATTCATATCTTATATATATATTTTTCGAAAAAAATAGAGGCATACATGTCCAATTTTATTCCACAAATAGAAAGGTTACAAGGAGGAAAAAGCGAAAGAAAATAGCTCATAAAATCTAAAATCTCCATGAAGAAGAAGATGCCAAAATATAATGCTCAACAAGAACAAATACGAAAAAAACAAAAACAGGAAGAAAAAACTTCCCACTAAAACAACCTAAGACCAACAAACCAAGAGTCCCTAGGAATACAAAAAAAGACAGCCATCTGAACAAAAAGCCTCTAAATCAAGAGTTAAAAAACATAAATAAAAGCTATCCCCCCCCCCGGGACTCAGCAAGCGGGAAGATAATCATATTTTTAAACCAAACGCCAAAATTCAATGGTTACTAGATTAACCATCCAACAAAATACTGGTTGTTAAACTAGCCATCTAAATGAAGAAATAAGAAAATGCCCATACATCATAGTCCAAAAAATAATCAAACCACCCCCAACTAAATAAATTTGTGATGAATTTTGGGCAAAGAGACCCAATTCAACACTTTGGCTTGAACCACAAATCTGATCTGATTATAAATGGAATCCTGCAAGCTGAAATTATTTTCCATTTTTCTACAATTTCTCTCTTTCCAAATGAAGTAAAGAGAACAACAAGTATACATAAAATAAAGACTTTTTTCATCTATATTCCACTTCTAATTCCAAATAAATTCAAAATTTTGATTTAAATTAGGTCTAAGCATAAAGAAATTCATATTAGGCACAAACTTAGAAATAATCTAAAACGAAAAGTCACATTCAAAAAATAAATGTATATGACTATCAGTTCCATTATTACATAAAATACAATTGCTAGGCACAATAATTTTCCTCTTATTCAAAAGATCTACCATTTTTAACCCATTCAACATAGTCATCCAAGCAAAACAAGAGAACCTTAAAGCATAAATTTTGTGCCAAACATAATTAAACCAATCATCCTTATTAATATTAATAAAAAAAAAAAGAATAAAAATTCTAAAAAACATGCAACATAACCTTATCCCAAGAGATCAAAGAAGATGCCTGATTAAGAATCTGAATTTTCAAAATTTCCTGAATAATATCACCCGGAATATAACTGGGAATAGCCCAGTTACCATTATCCATCCAATTCCCCACCTTCATATTATGTAAAATAGAAGCTTCATGAGAAGATAAAATATCCTGAAGAGCCTTCCCTTTAATCCAAGGATCCCAAAAAAGAGATACCTTACTAGATTCAACCATATTAAAGGAGATATTACTCTTAATATCTCTAGCAGTCCCACACAATTCTTTCTAGAATTTAGAATCCTTATGAGAGCAAGGCTTCCAACATGAGATGTATTTAAATTTAACCCAAACCGCAAGTAGGTTCAGATCATTCACAATCCTCCAAATAAGAGAACAGTTAAAAGCAAATCTTAAAGCAACCAAATTAGAAATCCCCAAACCACCTTTATTCTTTGGCTTGCAAACATCATTCCAAGCAATCATATGAATCCTTCTAATATTAATCTCACCATAAAAAAGAAAATTAGAACAAGCTTTTTTAAAAAAATTGTAACATGATTTAGGTAAATAAAGCCCTCTAATCCAATAAGAAATAAGTTTGGAAATAGTAAAATTAATATATTGCACTCTACCAGCAAAAGATAAAGTTCTAGCTTTCCAACCGGCAATCATATCCATTATTTTGTTCATTAAAGGTTGAAAATCAAAGATTAAAAGCCTTTTACAAGAAATAGGAAGTCCTAAATATTTCAACGAAGTTTGGGAAATAGAGATTCCTAGAATTTGACTAATATTAAAAGCCAAACCACAATTTCTTGAAAAAATAATGGAGCTTTTACCTTGATTTACCTGAAGCCCAAAAACATTATAAAAATAATGTAAAATCTCTTTAAGCTTACCAGCATTCCTAAGAGAAGCTTTACCAAATACTAGAACATCATTTGCATATAATAAATGAGATATAGATTGATCACCAGCCATAATACCTTCGAAATTAACCATATTAGACTAATCCTCAAGAAGATTCGAAAACACATCCATAATAATACAAAAAAGATAAGGGGAAAGAGGAAATCCTTGTCGAATACCAGAAGAAGAACCAAAGAAACCATTAGAGCGCCATTAAGGATAATATAAAAGTGAGTATCTGCAATGCACTCTTTAATCCAAGTATTAAAAATAGGAGGAAAACATTTTTGTGCCATCCTATTAAAAAGGAAATCACTAGAAACAGTATCAAAGGCTTTATGAATATCTAGCTTGGAGCAAAAGAATTTTTCTTTATTCTGACAGTTAAAACCCCTCAAAATTTTCACAGCCAAAATTATATTGTCAGTGGATATCCTATTCTTGATGAAACTAGATTGACTATAATGAATAATTAAGGGCATAACATCCTTCATTCTTAAAGCAAGAATTTTAGCAATAGTTTTATAAAACACATTATAAAGAGATATAGGCCTAAAATCAAAAATTTGAGAAGCATTACTATTCTTTGGAATCAGAGCAATAGCCGTTGCTTTAGCAGCTTTAGATAAATATCCAGTCTTGAAAAAATATAAAACTGCATTACAAAAACAAGGCCCCACAAAATCCCAACTCTTCTTAAAAAAATCGAAGGTAAAACCATCTGGACCCGGAGAAGAAGTAGAAGATCCAAAAAAAAAACAACTTTTTAATTTCATCAACAGTAACCGGAGCAATCAAAGATTCCACATAACTATCTGGAATCTTATTACCAACAGGCATAGAAAAAGAAGAAGAGAAAATAGGTTTAGAGGTATTAAACAGTTCTTTAAAATGATTAACAAAGGCCTCAGCAATATCATTCTGATCAGAAATAACCCCATTAGGAGAAATAATAGCCTTTATGTTATTCAAATTATGCCTATGTCTAATTTTAGAAAACATAAAACCCAAATCATCTTCCCCATTTGATAACCAAACAGCTTTAGCTCTTTGTTGAATCCAAGAAGACCATAAAGACAAATTAGAGCTAAGTAAACTATTGACATTCTTAAGAGCCAAATTAAGATCCAAATCTAAAGGATTAGATTGGATTTTAGAAATAAAGTCTTCCTGCTGCTTTTGAAGAAGATCAACTTTATTTCTGAGATCATGAGAAGAAACCCAGTCTTGATTCTTAATCATATTTTTAAGAATCTGTAATTTCCCATAAAAAGCATTCACCGGATTACCAACAGGAGAAACAACAAAGGCTTCAATAAAAATATCCCAAAATTCATGTTTGTTGCACTAATAGTTCTTGAAAAGAAATCTTTTATTAACATGCCTAATATGATAATTACACACAATAAGAGGAGAATGATCAGAACACATAGGGTTTTCAACACGATAAAAAGAATCCGGAAAAGTATTTAACCAATTGTCATTAATTAAAACACGGTCAAGCGTAATATGAATCGGAGAATCTCTTTGCTGGTTAAACCAAGTAAAAAATGACCAATCGAAGAAAGATCTTTAATACCAACATTAAAAATAAAATTGTTGAAATTCTCCACTTTAACATTATTAGTTAAATAACCGCCCGATTTTTCATTAGCAAATCTAAAACAATTAAAATCTCCTAGAATAACCCAAGGAGAAGAAATATTAATAGCAATATTTAAAAGATCATTCCAAAGAGAAATACGATCAACAACAGAATTAGCCGCATAAATCATAGTAATAAAAACTTTGCAAGAAGAGTTTACCAAAATGTAGCCATGAAAAAATTGATTAGAAGAAATAATACAATTAAAATTGATGCGAGAAGCATCCCATTTTATCCAAATTCTGCCAGGAAGAGAGTTATTAAAATTGTGACATTCACCTTCAACATTGAATAATTTATGCTTACCTGAAAACCAAGGATCCAAAGATTGGTCCAATTTTACCTTAGCTTCAAAAATACAAAAAAGCTCAATAATAAATTTAGAGATAAGATTTTTGCGCGCAAGCAATAACCCTATCCAAATTATGAAAGCCTCTAACATTCCAAGAAGCAATATTAGGCAAAGACATAATTATTTATTTGAAGAGGAAGTTGCCTTTTTGGCCAGTCTTGATCTTGTTACTTTAGCAGAACCTAAAGAAACTTTAAAAATAGCATGGTTTTTAACAGAACCAACCGATAATTCACAGAACTCTTTATTAGCATTAGCTAGAATATTTTCAACAGTACCATTTTCAGCATCAGGCTGAATATCCTCTAATCCATCCCAAACCTGAAACTTATTAGCAATAATAGTGTCTTTGGCAGCACAGTTAGTAATCGACAAATTATTCTCTATCACAAAAATAGAATGTTTAAGGACATCTAAAGAAAATTCTTCAGAAGGAGAATTAAGATTTAGTAAAACTTCTTTCAAAAAATTCTAAGTTATTCAAAATAAAATTCTCTGGAAAAGAAATATTATCTTGCTTATCAGTAATTGATTTTTCTTCCCTCGGAATGTCAGGAAATTCAGAAAAAGTATCAGAATTAGCCATTAACACATTCTCTGAGCCAGCCTTCATATTATCAATATTCTGAACATAATTTTGATCATTTTGCTCACTAACATTCTAATCTAGAGATCTAGGTATTGAGCGAGAAGATTTCACCCACCTAGTTTTGCTTCGCCCTCTTCCCAATCCAACCTTAGAATTAACTTTTTCTTGCACAGGATTCTTCTCAATAGAATCTTTCGGTTTAGATGATCAAAGAAAAAAAGAATGAACTAAAGAACCACATCCAGAGCATGGAGATGGCTTCCAATCATACACAATATTTAAATAACTAATGTGACAAGCAATAGATATATTAACTTCATCATGAAGGGTAGAATCTTTATTTATAAGAACAAAAACTCTAGCATAAGTAAGTCTTTTTTTTTCTGCAGTTAAGACATCAACAAAAACAGGAATACCCACCAGACTAGCAAACAAA